CACCCCCCCCCAAAAAAAACACACCAAAACAAGACAGAAACCTAAATTAAAATCAGAGTAAGGATTTGACTTGAAGCATAAAAGAAGAAATAAGGCTGAAATTCCATACTTATCGCACCCTGTTGTACCTAGATACTGCTGCACATCTGGTGTGTGAGATAATGCACTGTTTAGAGAATGTGCTACAAACACAGAAAATTGGAAATGAGTTTCAAGTCTTAACGCTACATTTCTTTACTACTGGGAGCAAGCAAGGCTCTGTTTTCCACTCTTTTTGTAGGCTGCGCAATTTGATTCCCTCTGTCTGCTATATGAATAATGTAAACATGAAGGAAACAAGAAAAGGGATGGTTCTGTAAGAAGTACTTTGTGCAGCACAGCTCAGAAGACTTTTTAGAAATTCCCAAAGCGTAGACCAAGGTTTAATTACAATATCAGCCATACAGCAAAAAATAAGAGCTGCTCAGTCGAAGCCATGTGTGTAGCAAGAAACGCACATATTTCTTGTTCTGTCATTTATCATATAATGTAAATAATATGAATACAAATAGTTAAAACCAAGGGCATTCTTGGCCTTCTGCAACAGAATATCTCAGTGTTATAATTTGCTCTTGAAATGACCACGTGTCAGTTATTTGCGTGAGTCCTGCGGCTACAAGACATGAGAAGTCAGATCTGCACCCAGCATGCTTTTGAGATGCTCCTCAACAACCTGTCACTGGCTGTATCAGCCTTGGCTTCTTGGGGGGAACATTTTCCTCAAGCAGCCTCGCAGAATGCAAGATCTTTACTGCAGATATGACCCAGGTACAGTACAGTTGGATTTGGGCTTTAACATACGAGAAAACAAACACATTTCTAAGTGTAGAACTTCAAACTTTGCCTTTAAGGACCTACATTCTCCCAAATGACCCGCTTTCTCTGTGTTGTGTATATATGGCTGAACACCCTTTCCCTGGCAATGTGCAGTGAGGGAATCTCCGTGACACAGTATTAAAAACTTGACTGTACAAGTCTCCCAGCTCAGGTCAATAAACTGCTACATCAAATAATGTTACAAGTCCTGACCTCCGTGAAGTATCAGCTGGCAGTGATGAACCCTTTTGGGAACAGCCAGGAAAGCTGCAGTGCTATCTAGAGAGAACACCAGTGAGCTCTCCTCCTGCCTCCCATCCAGACTGGGTTTGCCACGTGTAGTGGCACAAGGACGAGGAGAGATAAAGCAACAAATTGAAGCATGTTATTTGGCACCTCAGGGAAAAAAACATCCCCTTCCAAGCATTGGTCAGCAACAAAGAGCACATCCAAATTGTTCAGATTTTTCGATCCATTTTCTGATATCAGAATTTTGGCTGAAATTCAGCCAAGATGTAAGCAGTCAAACACAAGCCACAAACACCTTATCTGCACTTATGAGTATCGCCCTTTGCTGAGTGGAAGGCCATCTGCCAAGATTTTCCTTTCTAGAGCATTATTTGGAAATATAAATTCTCAGTGTAGCGAAAGTGCACTTGAGCACTTGTTCTCTGAATGCAAGTGACAGCAACCTGGGTACCGCTGCAAACAGACAGTCCTGCTCTCCTTGCTGTGGGACAGGTAGGCAGCAAGGAGCTGCTATGCCTCAGATGGGAGCGGGGAGGTTGTCTGCCTCCACCTCAACCAAGAGGAATGTGGAAAACAGATGTATTTACAAATTTCTGATCCCAAACCCCTTTTGTCCTTCCCTCTGCAGGCAGACAGGACAAAGCAGCCGTTCCTGAAAGGGTTCATTACTGCTAGCCAGCACTTCATAGAGATCAAGACTTATAACATTATTTGATGTAGCACAGTTTACTGACCTGATCATGGAGACTCGAAGATTTGTAAAGTCACGTTTTTATTACTGGTTCAGTCATGCACATACATATTTATAGACTTCAAAAAAATCTTTGTAATTGATCAACTAAGGCAGCACATTCAATTTTAATACAGGGGATTACTCGCAGTCCCTGTAGAACCACCTTTTGTATGCAGTAGAAGCTATTTAAAATATTTACAAGAGTTGCTTTTTTGGCTGTCTTATGCTTATTACCATCTTTGGTCTAGGCAGCAGTTACAGTTAGGTTTCTTTCCTTCTTTCATCTCCATAATCTGTATGAAAAGATGCATTAAAAACAAGTAGTAACACATGCCTCTGTACTACTTACACATCATCAGATGTACCTAGTGCTCATCAGATCTCATTTCATATCCTCCCTAAGAAGCTGTCCTTCCCAGCTCTGGTTTGTTCAGTTTTCAAGCATTAACAAGCAGCATGAATAATCTCAGTCCCAAACCCATTCATAAATTTTGGTAAGGCTTTGCATACGGATTCAGAATATAATGAGAAAGGCTTTATTTCATATTAAACCCTTTTATGCAGGAATTGAACTAAGCAGTGACCTGTAAGGCTTGTTTGTAGTTATGGATTCTGGAAAGCAAATTGGAAGCAAATTCATTATCTGTCCAAGAGATCAAGACTACGATTAACTGGAAAAGAAAAATCCCCAAGGAAATTTAAACACTGATTTACAGAAGAGGCACTTGGTTACTATGATGGTCAAGACCAGGATCAGTGAAGAGAATGGCAAGAATTTTAAACACAGAATCATGGATAACGCAGACATCATCTAAACTTTTTGGAGAAGGAAAAAAAAAATGCTGCTGAGTGAAGTAACCAAAGTCAACAGAGCCAAGATTGCTCACTGAATGTGTATCCAAACTGAATTCATATTCAGGCCTGCTGAGGTTCTGCAGTCAAAGGTTTGGGAAACAGCCTATATAGAAACATTGATTTTTAGAACACAGATATCCACTGAAATATGCATTCTTATTTGCATTATTCATGGCAAAACAGGGAAAACTTTTTAAGGTTATGCGTTTTTATAGCCTTTCTTCAAAACACCCTTAGTATGCATATGAAGAGAATGCTTCCTGCTGACTTGTTTCTAGGATTGTGCATTTTCTAGTCCATACATTTTAGATGCACGTGCCTTGAAAACACTGTGCTAGAATCCCATCTCCCCCAGCCCTACTCTGCCAGTGGGGGTTTTATCTGCCTTTTCTACTTGCTTCACCAACTGCAAGCACCCTGCCAGCATTGTTCTTTTATTCAACCTGGAAATGTTGTTCTGCCTATGCTAATTGAAATACAATTGCAATACTAATTGCATCCTGTGATGAGGCCAAATTAATGTTTGGGGTTACATGCACAGTAATTTACAGTAAAACAAAGATTGAAAGCTGTAAAGACGCACCAATGTATTCCCTTCCTGTTTGAAACAGATAGATATACATGGAGTAAATAGGCTTGAACTTACATTTTTATATGCAAATGCAGCAGTTTGTATTAGCGCCTGTTGTAGTAAAACGTAACATCTGATATAAGCTGTCCTTTTTTTTAGATCCTTTTTGTGCTCTGACAGTGCATGCACAAAGATCCTGGACATTCAGCCCCTCTGTAAATCACTCAGCAGCAATGAGCCACACACACACCAAGGCATTCTTCCATTCAAACTGGGTATCAACCTCAGCTGTTCTCTGTTTTGGGAGCACGAATTGGTTACTTCCAGGCACAGGGCAGATGACAAAACCACTTCTAGTTAAACCCCATTAAAAAAAAAATAAATCACATGGCAACCTGGCTTTCACATTTGGGCCACACCATTTTTTAAGTGTCTCAAAACATCCATTTCCTTTTGCAATTAACTTTTCGTGCACTTGCAGCGATCTTGAATGGGAGCAATTCTTCGTTTTCAAAATTAATCCAGAAAGTTGAGTTGTTAGATCGATCAATAGCTAAAGAAAAAAGCTCATGGAAAACATCTCTGTTTTAGGAAGGTTCTCATTTAGAAAGGATTTGACCAACTAATCCCTAACTGTTCCCCAAGTCTTCAAAGCACAAACAATTTCAGACTGAAAGGAATTCTGTATTTCCTTTTCTTAGGGACACAAAAGACGGCTGACTAAGTTAAAAGGGGTTAACACTGGCTTTAAACAGGACCTTATAATGCAAGTTGGTATTTCTATCCCACTGTGTGGAGCACAGTGGCTGCAGGCAGGGCTGACTGCTGACGGCCAATGGGCAATATTATTTCACCTTCAGACTTAATAAAGAGGCAGCGTCAGTCCATGATTTTCTCATCTTTAGGAGAGTAATTCATTTAGGAAAGCAGCATGCATGCCTGTGTGTAGGCAGCAATAAAACATCTGGAAGCGCCCTCGTGCACTACCTCATGCTAAGTGGTTCCAAAAGGGAAAAGATTTTAATTTAATTTGCAGAACCCCCATGATCTCTCACATACCGGGGCTATGCCCACAGCCAGGAGCTCAAACCAGAGACCTCTACAGCCTGAAGACAGCAGTGGATCTGCCACCCAGCATGGCTTAGAGCCTCCTGGCATCCAGGCATCCCCATCCTGCTGTGGGAAGCTAGAGCCAGGAGAGCACCTGGTTTGCAGTCTTCAACAGGACATTTCTTCCCTAACATGTCTGAGAGTTAAGCACCCTCTGATAAGAGCCACACAACAACTATGAATGCCACACAACAGTGAATGCTGAAATCAAGTTCAGAAACTTTGATTTTTGGAGCTCTGCCCTCACTATGGTTGTCTCCCATGGAAAGCAGCAGAGTTAGCAAGCACACAGTACCTTGATGGAGCTTATAAGAGACCAACTTAGTACGTGGTCTGATAGTGATAGGACGGGGGGAAATGGCTTTAAACTAAAAACAGGAGATTTAGATGAGATGTTAGGAAAATTCCTTACTCAGAGGGCAGTGAGGCCCTGCTCTGCTGCCCAGAGCTGTGTTCCCCATCCCTGAAGTCTCTTGAAGCCAGGTTGGATGGGCCCCAGGCAGCCTGAGCTGCTGGGGGGTGGGGGGGAAGGGAAAACCAGCCCATGACAGGGGGTAGAACTGGATGATCTCTAGGGTCCCTTCCAACCCAAGCCATTCTGTGATGGACTCTTCATTATCTCCATCACTTCAGTGACAGCTTGTTAGGAAATCCAGCCTGCAGCGAAGCAACAGAAAAATCGTATGCCTTATTTAAATAACAGTGTTCATTGCCCATTAAAATGTAACTTCTTGCTTTAAAATAGGATTAATTAAAATGTACAAGAATGCAATTCAGTTACATTTTATGCTTCAGCCCAGCACACGCTTTTCATAACTCATTCCCAGAAGTAATATTCATGGCAGCACAGCGTTCTCAGCCCTGCCATTAAAAGCACAAATGAATATAAAACCTGTTCTTTTCAAAAACTTGGCTCCAGTATTGCCATTGTTAGGCTTTTCATAACGCATTACTTTGGCCATTACTGTTTTGCGAGATAATTGTATCAGCGATCTAACTTTTGACTGTATCCAGAGTGGCTGAAAATAGTTTGCTGCAGCACCTTTGTCTTTTAAAGGCCATTTGGGACTTGTTATTTTAATCCTTGCACAGCCTGATTTATCACTTCAAACATCTGTCAGCTGCGCTTTGTCTTGAAATTGATAGTGATAGTGTTACTGATTTTTCAACAGCAGCTGTTGGAGGTTCATTAGTTAGGCTCTCAAAGGGAGTAGATAACTGTAATATTTTTCTTTGTTAATCATCTCTTACGCACTGTTATAATGCAGGATTTGAAATCTGCTAGAAATCAGCTCCCCGTTTCTGAGTTGTGTGGAGCATCCTTTTATTCCTTTAATCTGTCTAGATTATTAAAACTCTTCCTCATAATGCAGTAAAACATTTGAATCTGGCACATGAGTGGCGAGATAGAAAAATCACTATTTCCTGCATCATGCTCAGCACAGAGGAGGTCAGTCGGGTTTCAGAGTTCTCATCCAAAAATAAATCGACTCCAAAGAGGAGATTAAGGGCTGTTCTGTAATTGATTTTTAATTTAAAATTTATAAGGCATACAAAACCTAGGTGACAACTTGAGTAAAATCAGGTTGCTTTCTAACAGGCACAGCACTTTTCAACTTATGCACTTCCTGCACTACATAACACAGTCTTACTAGGTGACTATGACTCTTGAAACACTTCCCCCAAGCATCCTTATACACCCACCTCTATCCAGGTGCTTTGGAATCTCCTCCTTCTGGGGACTGGAGCATCTGTAGGCTCTCCTGCAGCTGAGAACATAACAGCGCTACTGCTGGTTCAACAAGCAGCACTCATCAACACATAATTACAGTTTGAAATCAGTATCTTAATGAACTGATCTCAACAAAAGTAAGGAGAAATCTCCCAGGCATAAAGAAATCAGCATGAGAAAGAATTATTAACTGTAAAGTTCAACAGATGACCAGTCAGCAGGTGCTGCATTGGCAAAGGGAGCTGTTGGAGTATTCCCATTTTAGTTTGGTGTAAGAGAAACCTTTTGTAGTTTTAGTCCTGTGAGCTGTTGAGCAGCATCTGCAGGTGTGGTGGTGGAGATTGGAAGCACCTGGGAAACCTTACAGGCTTACCAGGTGAAAGAGATGCCTTCTAAAAACACCTACGCATTGGTTGGGACTCTTAACTTCATCCTAAAGCATAACTCTCTGTCCTGTAAGCTGATACCTGTGTCCAAGGCACTACGAGAAGCTCAAGAACAGAATAGACTGCAAGAGTACAGCTGGGATTTTAAGCTGCTGTGTTTCTCCAGCACCAGTGGTGCTTTCTTCTTAACACTGGCCAGATGCCTTGGTGTACTGCGTGTCAGTCATGTAGTCAGGCCAGTTCAGAGAGGCGGCTGTGTAGGGGCAAGAGGCTGGCAGCAGCTGCTGGAAGATGCCTGCCTGAAGAAAGATCCCTGGCACACGTGGGGATGGACAGAACACAGCCCACTGAGGCTGAAACCTGCATGTCTAGGTCACCTTTCATCTTCTCTCTTCCCCTTACCAGGATTAGAGACTCTTCTTGAAGAAAGCGTGCTTTGATTTTTGAAGTCAAATTTTCAGCTTTTAGCCATCTAACTTCAGAAGTTCCTCAGAAGCCCCATCTGGTGAGATTATCCCATTAGTATCTCAGGGACTTGATGACCTTTTTGCTTGATTTGCTGAAGGACAGTTCAGCTCTAACACGGTTGAGGCCACTGCCAAGTAGGTCAGGTAGCTCAGAACCACACCACAGCGTTTCCTTTTTTGTCCTGGGATCAGCCACACGTTCTTGATCCTTTCACATATCTACATATGTATATATCTTAACTAAGATTTGTATATCTTAATGAAACTGAATTAGGTATTTGGTACAGCACTGCTTTTCAAATCATTCATTTAATGTCCCTCATTGCTATTTTTTCCTCTACCCTTCAAAAAGAGCTGGATGCCTCCCAAATGCCAAAATCTACTTAGAAATACCAATATATATATCTAATTAATGTCAGACAAAATTATGAGCCTTCTTTTAGAATCATAGAAGCACAAGGTTGGAAAGGACTTACAAGACCATCTAGTCCAACTGTCCTCCTATCACCATCACTACCCACTAAACCATATCTGATAGCACCCCATCCAGATGCCTCTTGAACTCCAGATGCCTTTTCCTACAGATAAATAAGGTACCTGTTGTTTTTTTTTTTATTCTCAAAAACCTCTATTTTAACCTTATGGGAAAAAAAACCCACAGAGAACAACACGAATTCTTCAACAGCAGAATTTGTGCTCATTTGTTGAAAAGAAGAAATTCTCAGAACAAGTTTTCTGTTGTTTCAGCAAAAAAAAAAAAAAAGTACATCAATGCAATACACACATATCATTTAAATGCCTGCTGGGCCATTTCTCCAACTGAGGCTGGAGGGAACACTTAAGCTAAAACCACTGGTAGGCTAGTGAGAAAAAATGGCAAATACTTTCCCCACGTAACTTTTAGGAAAAGGAATTAATTGTAGGCTTCAAATTGTAGGCTTCAAATTGTAGGCTTCTGATTTTCAATCTTTGCTTCTGCTTCTTTCTCCTTGTGAATTCGTTTCCTTACTGAAGTGCTGTTTTAAGTAAAATATAGTTTTGCTGCCTCACAAAAAGTGGAAAATTTTAAAGCGATTTTTTTCTCTGTAGAACACGACACTGAAGTTGGAGTAACTGTTTTGTTGAAAAATATGCAATGGAATCATAGCCTGAATTGGAAGTGCTCCCAGTACGGCCATTTGTTTTAGACTGATATGTTTGTCAGTAGGTTATTTGAATGTTGGCTTATATTCTTATTAAAGACTTCTACCTGTTACTTTCTCCAGCTTTCAGGTGTACATAGGTATACAGAGATTTTTTTTCTCTCAAATCTTGGGAGGAAAAACAGCAAAGCACATTTAGGTAGTGCTCAGTGAACCAGCTTCATTCAATCCCTTTATTTCTGCAGCAAGAATGAAAAAGGGACTTGCCATATTATAGAGGGGGAAGGTAGCACTGAGTCTGCACATTTGCTTTTATGTTTCCAGTGTCTGTTTTCTGCTTTACCTTCTGTGACAGTCTGAAACTCCTGAAGGGCAAATAGCTAAGAAGTTAAGGAATGCTTCGGGCTCCCATTACTGCTGTGTCTTCTGCAGGTGTTTAAGTTTTTCTTGGCATCGGTTGACTTTCAGAGAACGATATGTCAGAAAATCCAAACGTTGACAATTAAAACATGGATACACAGTTTGATTCTCCCATTTCTCCTTTCTCTCTGACACTTCACGCAAGGTGCTGGGATATTTGGAGGACGTCACATCACATCACACCAGCGCAGCGCTGCAGTGACCAGCTGCTTTGTAGGATTCAATTCCAATCAGAAAAGTTAACAGGCTGCACAGTTTGATCATGAAGGCTTGTTTTTTCTGCTGAAGCAGTTTGTCAGTTTGGTGTTAACTACAGGAGACAGGGCACAGTTGTTAAAGCAATCCAATTATATTCGCTACTGAACAGGGGATTTCTGGGCCCCTTTCCTGGGTGAAAGAAAGTGACCATAGCTGCACGAGTCTTTAAAACTTACTGCATTGCAACCCCTTGACGTGGCCCTGGGTGTCACAGAGCAGAGCTCAATGCTGTCCCTCCACACCATGAGGTGCTGCACCACCACGAGGGCTTTACTCAGCAACACTGCTCTGGCCCAATGAACCCAGGGACCTCAGCTTCTCACCCACCTTGCCCTCTAGACCTTCCCCACCTTCACAGCCTTCCTCTGGACTCTCTCTGACAGTTTCACATCCCACTCTGTGCATACACCCAGGGCTGCCCTTTCCCAGGTGCAGCGTCTGGTGAAGAAACCCCTGGTGCAGTCAGATAAGGAGCCTTGTTGCAGCTTCCCTTCATCTCAAGCGAAGTTGTTCTTATGCTTTCCTTACAACCAAAGTAAAATACAAAAGGCAGTTGCATTTCCTTGGAGCTCTCGTTACTTTCTCAGTATTAGAGCCACATTCCCTGCTATTGGGACGAGAAGAATCAGAGTAAAATCTTACACCTGACCAGACATGAAATGTCTTCAATTCAGTGCAAGCAAATCCTTGTCTCTCAGTGCAGGCTGACTGACCTGCACAATCTGTTTCCTCAAGGGAAATATTAAGTTTCCCCACAGATTTTTTGGAGTAAAGGGACCAATGATCAAAGTTTTCCAAGCAAAAACCTGAGTATGAGTTTGGGCTGCTGAAGATCTGGGTATCCTGAGAGATTTTTCTGTGTGACAACCCAGGGTGTTAAGTCAAAGTTTTCATTCCTCTCAAAAGCTGCAGTGGTAAAAGAGTCAAGCCCCAATTGCAGCACTTATGCTTATAACATCCTGCAAAATAAGGCTGTGATGAGACAGAACAAACGCATCCCTTTCATGTAGTCCTGCTAAAAGAAGAGATTGCTTAATTCCTAAATTCCTTGAAGCATTCCTGACAGCAGTCACATCTGCTGCTATAAAACCTATCACGGTCTCAGCCTTTGGGAAAAACGTGTTTAATAATCAGCAAAGTTCAAACTCAGCTTGTTGTGATGAATTATTAGAACCCGTCATCATTTTCTTGCAAAAAAAAAGGCCATAATGGAACACAATTTTATGTTTTTTCCATTTAATTCATGACAGTCTGAGTTTTTATTAATCTTTCTGGGCTCTGGTGTAAGATGCTGAAAAAGCTAATATGAGATCATTGTATCTGGTTAATGCGTGTGCTTTGCAAAATTGATAAGGCCCGTCAAGACATAAATTATTTAAAATTTGATAAATGTGTTGAAATCATTGAATTTTCAAACAGATAAAGCAGAGCTGTTTCTCTTCCTTCTCTCCCCCCTATTCAAAGTGAGGTTTCTGTGAAGCTGCTCAGTGATCCTGCGTTATTGTTGCAGGGAGATGCTGAAACTAGCGGGAGGAAGCCGAAGTGGTCAGCATCCTATGCAGCTGTGACAGTGGCATGATTCTGAACCCTTGTGATGCAGCGTCAGGGCTGGGAGCAGTGGAGAGCTCAAAGTCTGCTGGAACTCTCCAGGATGAGTTTTCCTCACTGGTGAAACCCGGGACATTGCTGTGTTCCACCTCCCTCCTACCACCCCTTCCTCTTCCTCTGCAGGATAAACACTCACTGCTACACCAGCCAGTGACCAAGTAGGAACTTGAGCTCTGCTTATCCCAACAGACCTATTTATTTCAGCTAATTGCTGACAGTTTTTAAATGATTCCTGGCAGGGGTGAAGCTATAGAAACGATTGCTGGTGAGTGATGACCTGGATAAAATCCCCAAGGCATTGAGAAAATTAACTCTTGCATGGCTACTCTTCCATTTAGTGCTTTGCCCACGGAGAAAGGTGTGGGAGCAAATTCCAGATGAAGGAGTGTGAGTTTAACTGTGCAAATACAGAAACACAGCCTTTGCTAGCACCAGCATCTCTTCCACACGGGCTGATTTCTCAAAAATGGTTCACGAGAACAATATTTAATCCCAAGCCTCACTTCCATGATCAGAATCATAGAATCATAGAATGGCCTGGGTTGTAAAGGACCACGATGCTCATCTAGTTTTAACTCCCCTGCTATGTGCAGGTCACCAACCGCCAGACCAGGCTGCCCAGAGCCACATCCATCCTAGCCTTGAATGCCTCCAGGGCTGGGGCATCCACAGCCTCCTTGGGCAACCAGTTCCAGTGCCTCACCACCCTCTGTGTGAAAGAAATCATTCTTGGATGAGAATGGTCTTTGAAGAGCAATCACAATTGGTCAGAGAAGTGCACAGAAAGGACCAATGGTTTGAAGTTTATAATCACAGTGTTATGCTTTGGTTTGAACTGTTTTTGTATTTAGTGTACCAAAATGCAAGAGCAAGGTGCAACATGGATTCTGTACATCTCAATGGGTCCAGATAGTGGCCCTTAAAGGGAAATATCATAGTCTAACAGAAATTTTGGGGTAACTGGGTGACACTTTACAGCCTCCATAATACAGAAAATAGATTAGATTATTTCCTCTGCTTGAAAATTGATGGTTTGGAGGGAATGGGAAAATGCAGGTGCAGCAGAGGAGAACTACAGCAATAGCCATCTATTTAAATGTATATACTCACTTCCCTAGGCTAGTATTTTTTTCAAAAACCCTACCAGCAATATTTTCCACTATAGAGAAGCATTATTGTGAAATGGGAAGATGCTGAGGAAGCCATTTTTCCAGCATGCGCTGCATTCTTTTAATACAGATTTTTTTTATTTCCCGGAAATTGCTAACCAAAGTGAATCAAGTGGGCATGTGCCCAACCTTGCTAATAGCAAGAAGCTGTCATCGAGTGAAGGGCCTTTGCAATGCATAGAAGAAAATGATGTGTTAAGCGTTCGAATCTGTCATTGCAAGAAGCTTTATTTCAAATAGAGCAACTTCTGCACGTGCACAGAAATAAGGTTTTACGTTCAAAAGGTACAAATATTATTCACATTTCTGAACAATGCACCTTCATTCCTGTTCCTGCACTAAGCACTGAGCAGAAGCAGGCTCTTTTCTATTAGCCATCAATTACTGAACGTGTGCAAAACGACACATGTACTGTTGGATGCTTGCAAAGTCCTCCTTCGTGCAACTGATTGTGCTGACAGCTCAGCCCCGTCCCTACAACCAAATGAGTGAAACAAGGCAGCAGCAGGGCAGAGTCAAGAAACAAGGCTGCACAAGTCTGGAGTCCTACAGTCTGCAATCTGCTTGAGAAAGGAGGAAATACTGCTCATTTTAAGTAAGGCACAAATTGTAGCTGTGTTTATTTGATGCTGTACATGCCTTAAACAGGAATAGTGCATCGTCATGATTCAACATCTGAACCATCGTGTGTTCATGTATGATGAAAGCTATTTAATTGCCACCATGTCACCTCAGCTGAAGCAGCTTGTTTGCTGTGAGCATGCCAGCTGCTCATGCACTGTAACACACACGTAATTAAAACTGGTTTAGCATGGTACCACTCTGCAATTCCACCGTTTGAAATAATTTTGCCCTAATACCTCACTGATGTGACAAACCTAGCCTGTCTGAGCATGCATCACTGCTTCCCATCCTGCAGCCTCTCTGAACCTCATAGCACATTTTTCTTCTTTTTATATCAGAGCCTGCTGCAAAAAAGCACTTGAGAAAGCAATGCTCTGCTATCTCATTTGGAGTGAGAGCCCCCAGAAGAGACATACATTGAGCATTACCAGTAGCACATGACTCGGTGCCCTGTAGCTCTCTTTGTAAAAGGAAGGAGAGAAAAGCCAAAGAGCCATAGCGCGGCTTTCAGTAAGTGCTGCAAAAGAAAAGTAGCCCAGGAGGACAAATGTGATGTTCCTGTGCCCTTGCCAAAGGACAGGCACAGCTGAGTGCAGAAACAAGTGAAGTTAGAACCGCCTGTGTGCTGAACAGCTCTGATTCCATGTATTTCTCCTACAGATTTCTAGCTGCTCCTAGCTCAGTTACTAGCAGTGACACCGACTACAGGTGCCCACATCTTCGCTTGGCGATGAGCATTTCGTGCAGGAGGCCATTTAGCATGCAGACACTGGGAAACGTTTTATCAGCTCTACCAGGGCCCCGTCTCTGCTGGAATTTGGAAGTGCAGCAGTACAGCTTCTCTTAGAGCTCTGAGAGACCTCTGGTTGGGTTGGGGTGAAGGACAGGTGAGTGTGTGCCTCAGCTCCTGCTGCTCTGAACCCAGCTCTGGCTGCAGCTGGGAGCTCACCCAGGCCAGCTGCTACAGCTTCACCCAGCTGATTTTGAGCATGTGGACTGGCTTAGAAGTGGCTGAAGACCCATGCATAATCATGACACTGCTTCACTGAGAACTTTCCATCACCGTGACAGTTTCCCTCGGCATCATTATGACAGCTATCTGTGCTGGTGCAGATAAGCATCTGTCACTGCTTCCATTAGGATCTCCTATTTTCCCGAGTTCATAGCTCAGCCATAAAAAACATTGTGTGGTGGCAGAAACTTGACATACAAGGTCTCAGGCTGAGAGTGATCATTGGTGCCTTTTTTCTCCCTCTGTAATCTGAAGAAGAAAATAGTTCGCTTATGTAAGACACACCTAACCCCAAAGTATGGATCCAGCCACAGATTTATTTAGCGATGGCTGCCTCGCAATACACAAGTAAGGTAAAGCCTATCTCAAGTTCTGCTTTAGGGAAGATAGGAAGAATATGTGTTAAGCTGGGTTCAGGCTTCTGGTTGGTAGAAATCAGGAAAGGACCAGTGGTTTTGGAGTTCCAGGTAATTAGATGAAAAAAATTGAAGATTATAGAAAATAATTGAAGATGGTAAAGTACTAAGAGCTACGGGTACCTTTGGTATCATAGCAGGGGAACAGCAAGCCCAGCATTACTTCTAACATTTTCTCTTGTGAGGCAAGCAGCACTGTATTCCATTCCACAAAGTCAGCATTACCCAGCAAGCAAAAAGGATGGCATTCACTCCCTGTTTTGGCTGCTTTAAGCCACCTTCCACCCCATAATTGGTGCTGTGGTTGCCTACTGATCAGTGAAAACTGCATCCCGGTGCTAGCAATACTAAGAATCTACCATACAGACCCTGGCCCTGCAGGAGCAGAGGTGTAATACCAGCAGCATTTTGCCAGGAGGAAGAGGAGGGAGTATTTCACTGGGCAATGGACCTGGTACAGCACTGCTCTTTCCCTCTTGATCTTCTTTACATTTTACTCATGCGTGTGTTTATGTGCTGGTTAATGATGAATAGAGCAGCTGAAAATCTTTTCTTTGTACTTGAAGATTCTGGCATAAGCTTGAAGGGAACAAACAGAACTAACAGGCAAACATGTTTTACAAAACTCGTGTTCAGGATTTCAAGGATGTGTAAAGAAAGGTCAACGTTCATTTCTAGCCTGCAGAAACACAGATTCTACTTCTGACCTCTTCAGAGCATGCTCTTGTTCTGTATTTTCAACAGGGCTCCACTCTCAGAGTGAAGAGGAAGGCTGTAAGCAGGCAGTATGCCTGTGCATTAAATTGGACATCTGATACTTACTAAGACAAACCTTTTTGAAAGCTAACATCTTTCTGTTGATTCTGGATGTAGTAACATGCTTCCTGATTGCAAACTGTTTTGCATTAGACTTAGCTTGGCCTGGTCACACTTCTGAAAAATGGTAAGTTGTGTTGCTTAGCTCTTCTTGCAGGCTTGGCCTTGCCATACGCAGGCAGTTTAGCACCTACCTCCAGCACACCAAAAACCATGATTACTTTCAGAATTTGCTAGAAACTTGGGCAAGAACAAAAATACAAATGTAGAGTAAGCAATTTTGGTACAGACAGATAACAGAATTTTAAGCCTAAAGCATTTGTTCAGTTAAGTAAGGAGAATAACAAAGAAGAGTGGAAAAGTTCTGCTATTCTCTTTTCACTCTGCCTTTTAGCGGAGGTACGGCTTTGCTGTTTCCAGTTTTCTTGCATCCTCAGGCACGTTTTTATCTAACATAACTGTGAGAAAAACATGCTTCCTTGCTTGATGCGTGACGGTCCTCGACCCATCCAAAGATTTATGCATTTTTTCTGCTGGATGGCTCCTAGTGAGTGTTTTGCATCTTCTGTAAGCTATTGAATAAAATCTTTGAGATTTCACAGGGCTGCAGAAGTTACTCATTACTGTAGTCCACTGGAGTGATACAAAAGCGAATATTAATGGCTCCTGTAGTAGCTTGACATTTTCTTTTCACAGTTCATACAGTTCTTTTTCTGTTTTGGAACAGGTATTTTGTGATGGTAATCAAGTCGTACAAGCTACAGATGTGCTGGACTGGGAAGACAAGGATGCTGCAGAGACATTAGTGGACAACGTGGTCCACTCCAGGATCATCAACCCGCTACGTCTGTTTGTTAAGCCATCCCCAGTACTGAAACATGGCCAGGTGTCCTACTCAGACAGCATAGAAAACTTTTGGGATTGGTTGTCCAACATCACGGAGGTTCAGGAATCTCTCGCACGAACTAAACGCAGACCTATAGTAAAAACGGGGAAATTCAAGAAGATGTTTGGATGGGGTGACTTCCACTCTAACATCAAAACTGTTAAACTCAATCTCCTGATCACAGGGAAAATCGTCGATCACGGCAACGGCACCTTCAGTGTTTATTTCCGACATAACTCCACAGGTCTGGGAAACGTTTCTGTGAGCCTGGTGCCACCTTCCAAGGTGGTCGAATTCGAGTCGTCTCCACAGTCAACTTTGGAGACCAAGGAATCCAAGTCCTTCAATTGCCGCATCGAGTACGAAAAAACAGATCGCGCTAAAAAAACTGCCTTGTGCAACTTCGACCCCTCAAAGATCTGCTATCAAGAGCAGACCCAAAGCCATGTCTCCTGGTTGTGTTCTAAACCATTCAAAGTTATCTGCATTTACATCGCCTTTTACAGCGTAGATTACAAACTGGTGCAAAAGGTCTGTCCCGATTATAATTACCATAGCGAGACTCCGTACTTGTCCTCTGGCTGACACAGCCCTGACTGACTGTACAGATCCAGCACCAGTCATAAAAGTAAGCATCTCCATTAACCTTCTGGAAAGGAATATGTTTTTCCTATCAGGTTCAAAAGTCTTTAAGAACCGTAGCTGTGTTTGTGCTGTATCGTAACTAATCAAACTGTTTACGTAACGATCATTTTCATTTGAGACCATTGCATTTTAGTATTCTCATCGTTCATAAGGGAGCTACTAGGCAGACATGATTAAAAAAAAAAATCAAAGCAAATTATGTCCATAATGAGCATCGATCTTGAAAATCAGTTTTTTAAAGTACACTCCAAGGCAGAGAGGTTATCTTTCACTTGAATTGGACAACACTTAGCAGGAAATGATTCTCTTTCTCATTGGGAACCTTAGGAGATGACGATATAAAGAGCAGGTTATAAAGATGACTCTCAGCTGCTTCCATAGAAAATCCAAACGAACAGCTCTCCCACTAATTTCATAAAGTATCGAGTCCAAATATGAAAAGAAAGCATTATTTCTAAGGGAGAGGAGGAAGGAAGGAAAGGATTTCTATGAGCTGTGGTTGTTGTATGTATTCATCAAAGTGAAGAGTGAGTAGTACTTCCTTCAGACTTCTTGTCCATAAATATGCAATGATGTAATTAGATATTGATGAGCTTTAGTTTATTAGACCCACCAGGTGTGCAGGTTTGGTGTACATTTCCTCCTTCTATTGTCACCAGTGGTTCTGACCATCCCCAAGCATTCACACATGCACCAGTACTCGTTTCACAGTGACTGAGCATATGTACCCTGGAAAAAGATAATCTCTGTTTAGGTCTGCAAACGGTGCCAGCTTCCACGGGAGGGAAGTGACTGTCTTGCTTCTTAGGCCTCAGCACCATGTTGTGGCAAGGAGAATCCATCAGCAGGAGGAGGAAATTTTCTGCTTAATGGCACCCAGTTGTCTTTCTTAGTACTCCATATTTAAGATCAATATATTAAGCAATGAAAAATAAAGAGGACAACACAGATCTATGCACCTTCACCTCATAGAGCAGATTCCAAACAATTGCTGTTGGTGTAAAGTACTCACTTGGGCCAACACACCCACATGGAACCACGTTGCTCTGTCACGGTTGAGTGTGACAGCCCAGGGTCTGGCTGTGGTTTGGTTCTGCGTTCTGTGGTTTGGTTAGCTCCAGCAGTGCAGCTTCAAGCACAAATTCCTTGCCATTTCTTTGGGTGTTGATTTACCACTGCTGTCAGTCTGCTGTCACAGCCCCATATCACAGGTCCTGTGGAAGAAGCTAGCTGAGGGAGTGCTTCTGTTGCCTGTAGTCAAACTAACATGCAGGGAGCAAGAAGTCGAACGTGGCTTAAATGAAGTACTGCTAAAATAATCAGTTCGAGTGCCCTGTACACCCCAACAGCTCAGAAGGACTCACTCATGAGATCAATTCCCATTTCATTGATAAAATCTCATAGGAAAAATTACTGTTAAAATATGAAAGTAACGATTAATTTGTTTCTTCTTCAGGTGACCAAACTAAACGTGTGGTTTTGTTTCGCCAAGAACCTAACTGCTTTGCTTTCCTTCTTCTCATACAGAGTCCCTCCTGTTCTAAATAATGTTTTTCAGTTTGTCTCTTACTGTCGATTCCTACAAGGTGTTCTACTTTGTATTCTGTATAGCGTGTCCTTGTTCCAGCTGTATATAAGCTCGGATTTATTGCTATGAGTTCAGTGTCTGGTGCTTTTGTAACTTAGCTGTAAGCCATGATTTTATTGCCATGTATTTTTACTCAGCACTGTAGGCAATTGAAAGAAAACCCTACATGCTATTTATTGTAGAGTATGTGGAAACCATGTATGTATATACACTTGAATATGTGTACATATACAGAATATATGTGTACATGTATTTGTATGTAAATAAAGAGAGTTTGCTAAATCTGTCACTCACTCGCAGCATATTTGGTTGTGTTTTTTCTCCCAGTTTTGTTTGGTGGCTTTATGGGGACAAAAATAAATGACAAAACACTCCCACAACATATTGCTGAATATTTGTGCCAAGTGCCATTTGTTCTTCTGTGAGGTATTTTAAGTCTGCAGTACAGTGGGCAAAATAAGTTCAGTAGCATTCATGAGGGTCAAGGAAAGAAGTGCATGCGTTGCTCAACACAGTCATGAGCTGCTTCAGCAAATGCCCCCGAGCAGGCCACTGAAAGTAGAAGAGCTGTGCTAAACGAGAGGTGCTATGGAGCCTCAGGGTCTGCATTACAGCAGCCCAAACATCTTCCTGTGGAGGAGACTGCCTGCATGGAGCTCTGGCCCTCAGCAGCAGCATCTCACCACTTTTTGGGTGCTGTGCATGGTGTTCCAACCACCTCCTCCCTAAGCTTTGGCACAAGATGACAGTTGTGACAGCTATGCCAGAAAACTCACTGTGAACCACTGCATTTTTTCCAGTCAATGCATTAAAAATCAGGTTAAAAGCATCACGGTACACTTTTTCGAACCAATTTTGAGAAACTGACTGCAAGAAAAGACTTGTGATCTGATTGCAGTCAAAACCAGGGGAAAAAGAAACCGCTTCAACCTAGCAGGTTCAGCACAACGTGCACCAATGAACCTAACAGTATGGCTTTGCACGTATTTAAATACTGATTTGCATTGATATAAAGTCCTTGGTAAGTGTGCCTGTTCCTGTTCTCCCCATCACTTGGATATACATCGCTAAAGCTAGCAGCGGCAGGCAAATGATGATATGCACCGGAGTCAGGCGGCTCTTTTTCCTTCAGGCAGTACATCGTACATAAATGCAGGAACGGCAGCCATTTGGTGTTTTATTTTTAATCACTTCAATGGATGTGGAAACCCCTGAACGATTCTGATGTGGCTGGAAACGCTCTCACAGCAACGAGGCGAAGGCGTTGGGTGCAAATCAGCCTCCCGTGCTGCCCTTTCTCCCCCGTCAATCACGTGTAATTCAAGGACATTAGAATGTGCTGTTTGTTTTATGCTCTGTTGACCAGCGTAATCTGGATAATGTTTTATTTATAGTATAATAATGATTTGTCATTATCACTGTTCCTATTCAAATATGCACAGTAGAAACGACAGTAACAAGCCACAAACCAAGCAGCTCAATGAGACGCACATCACTCAAATGCACTTCTAGCTGTAGGCTGTCTCATCCGAAAAAACAGATCCTGCCATTCCCATCTGTGCCTCGTGAACACCTCAGACGTCCAGCAGAAGCAGTTTTAATACAGCTAAGAAAGCTAATAAAATGTTTCTAATGGAATGGCAACTGGTACTGAACTGTACTTTGAGAATGTAGTACTGTATTTGTCACTGACAAAAAAAAAAAAAGCCCCTACAAATCGGTGTAATTCCTTCCCAGGTTACGAGGCAACTGGATGGCAAGAGCTGAACCCAGGTCCACCACCTGCTCAAGTCTGCACTTGGAAGTGACACGAAGTGGACATGATCTCCTGGACACACAGCAACACCTTCCTGCAGTGCTGCTGCCTCCAGCCCAGTGCGTCGGTAGGCTTCAGACAGAAGCAGGTCTGCAGCTGTGGGTACTCCAGCAGGAAACCTGGAAACTGAGGCTGAATTTTGTAGGCAAAAATTCACAAAGAATGCTTTTCCTAAGATGCAGCTTAACACAAACTCCCTGGATGCTGGGATGCAGAGGCAGTGTAGTGGATCATTAAGGCAGTCGCCATGCCAGAGCCTCAGCTCGACATCGGGCCACACCATCAGGCCACATCTGACTTATAAAAGCCATACGGGGTCAGAGTGCCACACTCACCCCTTTCAGCTACCCAGAAGCTGCTTCTGAAACACTTGCTGTGTGCCATTGCTCTCACTTTGCCATTACTGGGAAGCAGCACAGTTCTATTACCACTGACCTCAGACCATCGCCTCACATCTCAGCTGTCACTCCCCATGCCCGCCCCTTCCTGCTGTACGCTTTAGCCACCTCAAATGCAAATCTGGCTTCTCTATTCTCCTGCCTCATTCCCAGACTGTATGTGGCTCTTTTGTCATTATGCAGCCAATTAAGTTTTGGCTACCTTATCTTAACAGCTCCAAATAAGCAGGCGATATTCCTGAAAGGTGATACATTATAATTGGGTCCAAATTGGCAAGGAAGGGAACAGTGAAATAGGAAGCAGTGAGGTTATTTGCATTAGCTCATAAGGTAAAAATGAAGAAGAAAGCAGAACCAAAGCTATCAGTTATCTCCTAGTATTTTAAGATTCGTATCATCTGCTACAGCCAATGCCACTTCCCAAGCTGTGAGACTTGGGATTTTTGGTGTGGGGATCCTACAGGTGACAGTGATGCTGCCAGATCCAGATGCACCAACTGCAGTTACCACATAACAACTTGCGTTATTTTCTTGTAGTCTGCTCTTAAAACCATCAGTCCAAGTTTTCAAAACGTATCAGGCTGATTTTAGGTCGACTGTTTCAAAACTTGAGCTGATGTGTTCCAGCTTAGTGAGAACTGAGCAGTGAGCTGCCTTTGGTCTACGTAAGTCAGTACAACTCTGTTCTTGCCCCATTGCTTGGGTGTTCCTGAAGCACACACCAAAACAGCAGGCGATGCTGAGCAGACTTACACTGCTGACCTCACATCTTGGTGCGGGATATTTAACACAGATTTCTGGGGAGGGAAACCAAGGGATTAAAAATATTTCAAGAAGCCACATTTAGGACGATAAGCGAACCTATTCAGTACCATACAGTACTTGAGAAGTGGATTGAAATTAAGTAGTTTTATGTCAGATATATTTAACTGCGGCGTTTCTGACATCCATCACTGAAGATTTGGATTAGCCCAAGAGCTCTGGGGAAGCAAAGGAAACGATGCTCACCTGAGCTGGAGGTGATGCTGGCTGCCAGCTCTGCTCCCTCTACCACCTCCTCCTTCCTGGCTTCCACACAGATGCAAACAGCAGACCGAGCACAACCTGACTGCTCACAGTAACAGCAGCACTGTAGCTGAATGGCACTCGGCAGCTCAGGCTCTCTGTTGAGATCTGAGTGGCAGCTGTCCTTTTATCTGGCCAAAGGAGAAAGGTATTTTGATACGTTGCACCAGCAGAGCCCCCTACTTAAAACTTACAACACCAGTATTGAGTGGTGTTGCAAGAGCAGATTAATTGCAGCTTCCAGGGAAAACGGAGCTTATTTCACAGTGACTTTTATTCCCACTTGAATTAAGTTCCTTACGTTGCTCTGCCTCATTTGAATTTTTTGAATTGGTTTTGCATAGTATCATTTACTGATGTGCTATCTTTAATTACATAACACACATGCTCTCACCAACTGCATTATTAATGGAAGCGTTTTTAATTAAATGGCTCTCAGCATAATATTCAGTCATTAATTTCACACATCCGGGACATGGAGAGATTCTATTCTGATGGTCCGGAGAAGTTTGGTACTTTAGATGAGGAATACTTCCACAGTGATAGTTTTAGAGTGAAGTTGGAAATCATTACAAGCACTGAATCACCCTCTCAGCAGCTGGTGCCACCGTTCTGCTCTGCTGGGTGTTATCTATTCTTGGGCTGAACTGCTCCTTTTGCTCTCCAATGCTTCACTGCTGGTAATTTTCACATGCCTCTCACTGGGCTCATGTATATTCCACAGTGCATAATATCAGAGTTCCTTCTCAGGAACAATTTGGGACAGTTGCCACTAAGGCTGCTCCTTCTAGAAGGAAAAACCCCACACCCTCCTTTCTAATTGCACCCTGCCCATCTGCCTCAACTCCTATGCTTTTAGAGCATCCCTGCTCCCAGGTCTAGGCCTCTCCCCCTCCTCCCCACCTCCGGTTGGAGGGAAGAGTGACCTTGGAAGTCACTTTCTGGTCTTCCTAAAGAGCTCAAGGAACTCGAGAGTAATAGGTTCACACTACACACGTTTGGTGGGTTTTGCAGTATGCGCCCATTTCTCCTTAAAGGCAATTTCACATACAAAAAATATTCCAGTAAGATTCTTTTTGGGACTGATCCTGCTATTAGTCTCAAAGCAATCAAGTCCTGGGTTGAAAAGGACCACAATGCTCATCTAGTTTCAGCCCCCCTGCTATGTGCAGGGTTGCCAACCAGCAGACCAGGCTGCCCAGAGCCACATCCAGCCTGGCCTTG